GCCACCATGCCCAGAGCTTGTATGGGGGGCTCGATCCTCCGCGCAGCGCGGCGAGGTATAGGCCGGCGGGATTCGCGGGCTCTGCCTCCTCCAGGGTCCCTGGTCCTACGCTCCCTGGTAGCGGCGCCTCGCCGGGCGGTGCCTCGCCCAGGGGCGGCAGCGGGGACGGTTGAGGCAACCCGCTGCTGCCTCCAGTTCCACGCCATCGGGCCCCCTCGACGGCCCCGCCACGAAGATGATGGCCAAGCAACGCGGGAGCGTCGCTCTGGAGGGCGCGGCGCTGGGCGGCGCTCAGGTGAACGCGCCCCGAGATCATCCGGTGGTCGACGCCTCCATCCACGCGCGCGCCATCCCGCCCCTCGGTCTGGAGGCGGTCGGCGAGCTCTGGTGGGAGATGGCGTGCGACCACCCGCACCCCAATCTCTCGACAGCCCATGGGGCCCTCGAACAGTAGGCGGTTGAGCCAATCCAGATCGTAGCGACCCTCCCCCAGCGGTGCGGGGTACCTAACGATCTCGCCCGAGTCGGTTTCGACCTGCATGCCCCCGAGGCTCGTGGCGATGATGACCCGGGCCCCCATCGCCATGGAGCGCGCGGCGACTCCCTCGCACGTTCCCAGTAGAAGGTACCACCGGGGAGGAGTCTCCGCGAGTAGGGCAGGTTGCGGAGGGGCGCTGGACCCCGTGCAGGCGGGGCAGACCTTGACAGCGAAGCGCTCCTGAATCCATTGGTGCCCAACGATCTGGGCCTCTCGTGGGCCACGGCCCGGCGACCTCGAACGGTCTTCGGCACGGGCACCTGCCGAGCGTGGCCACGCTTGCGCGGGCGTGGGCGGTGTCGCCGCTCGCTCGCGATTGTAGGCACGCGCCGTTTCGCCCGGTGGGGCGCCCGAAGGCTTCCTCGAAGGACGCCCCGAGCGGGGGGGGGGGGCGCGGCGGGTCGGCCCGCGCGCCGGCACCCAGCAGGTCGCAGGACACGCGGGCGACCTGCCCCTGCTTTCG